CAGGCGTTGTGGTATGCACCAGCGGTGCGTTGCACGTGGATGCTGTGGTGTAGACGCGCGCCGTGGCGTGCACAGGTGCTGCGGTGCACGCAAACACTGTGGTGTACTCAGGCGCTGTGTTGCACATGGTAGCTGCAGTGTACACATGTACACCGGCGCTGTAGTGTACGCGAGCTGTATGGTGTACACAGGCGCTGCGTTGCACACGGTTGTTGCGGTGTACGCAGGCGCTGTGGTTTTCCACGCGCGCTGTGGTGCACGCGAGCGTTGTGGTGTACACAGGCGCAGTGGGGCACATCGCCACCTACATGCTGCTCGCGTCGTCGTCGTCGTCGACGCTCGTCGCTCGTCGCTCGTCGCATCGCGCGCGCGGGCGCGGCTGCGGTGCCGGAGCCACACGGCGGGGGGGTCGTTACGTCATTGCCCCCCCTCGCCCCCCCCCCCACCCCCCATGACGCCCGTTAATGCCGAACATAAAGAAACGCGCTCTATTTCCGCGGTCGAGAACTGGCCCAATCTGGGCCAATCCGGCCTTATCCGGGGCTGTATCCCGAGATTGATCGGGCTTGATCTTGTGAAGTGGCGCCTTCATCGAGCTTCATCGCCCTGGCCCGTTCTAACGAAGGCCTCCCAGGAGGTGCCTCCGGAAACTGGGGCGGAGAGCCCCGGGGGGGGGAAGAGGAGCAGCATCACGCGCATCCAGAGGATCCACTCCCCCGCGTCTTCCAGGAGGCTCCCCGCCGAGCGCGTGCAAGTCCAGCCCTGGGCTATCGAGGGGGAACCCAGAACATAGACACAGGCACACATCAACGTCGTTTCCCTGGATAGTTTGGGAAATCGACGGAAAGACGCGCGTCCAGGAAATATGGAAACAGGTGAGAGATCTTGAACCGTGTGTCTCTTTATTTGCGTCTCCCTGGGCCCCCTTGAGAGGGCAGCGACTTGCCGGACCATGGCCGTGATCGCCGCCGCGGAGAAGGGCGCCGATGCCCTGCGGTGCGCTCCGCGGGGGGGGGAGGGGGGGGCTCTCGGGGGCGCCTCGCCCTGATCGAGCGGCGTCGTCGCGGAGCGGAGGGTTTCGGTAGCAAGTCATGGGAACCTTGCGTGCCCTCGAAATTCCGCTTCCAGAGTGTACTGGCGTCAGTTAGTGTCTGGTGATCGATGAGACAGCGCCGATTGTCGTCAATCAGCGTCGATTGGCGTCGATTCAGCGCCGATTTAGTGTAGAAGAGCGTCCATTCGCAAGAGCCAGCAACATGGTATGGGAGGCTCCCATGAGCTGCCACAGAAAAGATTGTGTCCTCGAGGAATTTATGAAAGTTTGTCCTTCGAGGATTGGCTCGTTTTCGGCCTCCGAGGGGCGCTTGTCGTGGCCGCGGCTGGACGCAGGCTCGAGGAGCTGCCCAGGGCGGAGCCAGGGAGGTGTCCGGGAACCCGTCTGGAGCAGATGCTGTCCGCTGGGGGGCGGGGCGAGGAGGGCGGCTTTCCGAGAACGGGGGGGCCCTCTCACAAGGAGCTGGTTCCTTCCGCAGGAGGCTTCTTGAGCGGCCAGGGGGCTCCCGAACAGCGCGCTTCCTCCTCTCGAGAAGACCGCCCCCTCCTCGCCACCCGCCCCGCCGTGGGCGCCCGCTCTTCGTCAGGGCGTCAGGGTATCTGCGAGAGCGGAAGTGTTCAAGACTTAGGGGTTTATGGGGTGTCTGGGGCTAGGGCCGGCGTCATCACGGCAGGAACCTGATGCATCTCCACGCCCCCTTCTGCTTTCTGCCCTCTCGCGCCCTTCCTCTGCTCCCCTGATTCGTTATCCTTCCCGGCCTGATGGGCCACTTTTCCACTACCGCCACCCTTACCACAGGTAGGATGGGGGAGAAAGGAGGGTCCAGAGGTCCTCCTCCTAGTACTCCTCCTCAGTCGGCGTTTGAGGCTCAGGAAGTTTGAGAACCGACTGAGAGAGGAGTTGCTGAAACTTTCTCACACGACGACCGCCCAGCAATCGCACGGGCCAGAGAGGGAGCAAGGGGGCATGGCAGATGGATGTCGATTGCAGTGCTCTCGATATGTGCGCCGATGAAGCTGATATCCTGCAACCCGCGGGCGGCGAATACCACGGACAGGCTGGAATAAATAAGCAGTGCGCTACGAGAGTGGGATGCGATCGAACGGACAAAAAGCCACCAGAGCAGAGCCAATGGAGCAAACGAATCACAGATATCATACGGCACTGCGGTCCGGGGCAAAGATGGGAAAATTGATAATCATGTCACGTGGTATGCCGCTCCTGCTATCCAACGAGATGATGAAAACAAAAAAAAGGCCTTCCACACACACACACACACACACACACACACACACACACACACACACACACACACACACACACACACACACACACACACACACACACACACACACGCACACGCACACGCACACGCACACGCACACGCACACGCACACGCACACGCACACGCACACACACACACACACACACATATACACACTTCTCACCCCCTGCCCAACTGCAAGGTAGAACGGCGAGGATCAGATTGCGGACTAGAGCAGAGGACGTCACAACATGCGCAACATATTTTCCACCAAACAGAGGGTACACAAACAATGGAATCATGTCAGAAACATCTGAATTGGGTAGAGGAGAAGTGCGACGACACGGGTGGCAGATCTATTGTCAGTGTGGGAGGAGATATCATCGCCAGTTGGGAATTCACAGGTCTGACGGCAGGGATTCGTTGGTCAGCTGACGCAGTTTGTGACAAGTGACCAAGGAAATCGAGAACGACAGCGGCGCAGCACTCGGGGAATTTCGCCTACAGAGCTTGTTGTTAGTGGTCACAACGTTCACCGATTGTGGGCCACCTAGTACTGCGTGACAAGCGAGAAGCTGATAATGAGCCGGAGGTGCGCAGCATTGAGGGGAGTTGTAAAACAAGTGCAGAAGATCAAAGCGAGAGGGCACATTACCACATCTCTGTGGGCTTGCATATTGGACATGTATGGGGAAGCACAGGCAGCAAAGAGAAGACAGGGAAATGCTGATGGAGTGCCTGAGGAAGGCCGCCCGAGGGCGGAATTCTTGAGCGCGTTCGACCGCCACCTGCAGGTCGCCCAGTCGCAGCAGCCAGGAGGAGCACGAGCGAGGTTCTCTCGGGGTGCGACCCTGGCTGTTCCTTCCGTTCTCCGCGGGGGTGCATTAGCGAAGTTTTCCCGGAGTGCCAACCGGGAGGTACTTGCCGAACCCCCGGGGGAAGCATTAGCGAGCCTCTCTCGGAGTGCAACTCATGGGGGGGCATGCGACAGAAGGCGAATGGGGGGAGCTGCAAGAGCGCCCAACGGCAGATCGGATGTGGAAACAGTGGAGCGCGGCGGGCAGGAACGCCATGAAGCAAGCATCCCCGATCGAGAAGAAGCGGGGGGGGGCAAGGGGGTGGCCGCCTTCTATTTGTTACCCTACTGGCAGAAAGGACGAAGTTAAGAGTGGGCGCGGTAAAGTCTGACGCGCAGAAGAGCTAGCGGAGATCGAGAAGGAGCTGGCGCAGATAAAACACGCGGTGCGCAGGCGCAGGACAGAGTTGGATTGTTTTTAAAGAAGGGAAGAGAAGCTGGCAGGGGATATTTGGGTAGCATGAGAGAACAACAACTTCAGCGATATGCACAGGCTCAGGGTGGAATATCAGAGGAATGGGAGGGGGCCGCAGAAGAGGTCCCACTGCTCAGCGCGACTTGGCGGAGCACCGAGGAATGGCTCGCAGAAAAGGGGCAGGCGCCCCCGCGAGGGGGCGCTGGCGGCCGAGCCAATGGGCCCGGGGGAATGCGAGAAGGAGCGCGGCGAGATGATAGCCGAAGAAATGCCGCCCCCACTAGACATGGAGTGGAAAACACAAGTCGAGAGGGACAAGAGAGACATGCTGAATTCTTGCAGGAAAGCGGCAAAGGGGAGGGCTTTCCCCCCGCGAGGAGTGCGCGGAGCAAACATGGGTGATTCTAGAAACCACCGTCAATTTGGAAGACCCTGGGCAGCTGGGCAAGAAGTTGGAGGGGCAGAGAGCAACGGCCGCGAAGATGCGACAAGCGCAGCTCGCTCTACAGGCGCAGAGTGGGGAAGTCGATGTTACAGTGGATGGGTTGGACATCAGGCAGGGCGCTGGGCAGGACACGTAGAGATGAAACACTAAGGGCGACAGAAAAGAAAGCGCACTACCTGGGGGGATGCGAGAAAGCCAGGCTGGGCTCGTCGGCGTTGGAGACAGAGGCGCGCGTGGAGTGCGGGGGCAAGCTGGAGGACATCATCATCATCGAGCGTCGCCAATCTCAAGCTACTCCATTGGCGCAGGTCTATTTCTTCCTCGCCGGAAAAAGGCAGCCAAAAATAGGATTGGGGGGAAGGGGGCCACGCGCGCATGCTGCCCAATGGAAATGGCTTGTTTCGCATCGGCACCCACTGCAGAGGCGAAGTATCGAAGCGCCCATGCTGGGCGCCGGGAGGGCTTAGACATAGATCGAGAGAGAATGCGACTACCTGCGTCTCGGCTACGCGGCGGAGCAGGAGCGAGCTCGCCAGCAACTACGACTGCACAAACGCCTTCGCGAGCACGAAACGCACCCGCCCGCTGGCATCAGTCTCCTAAGATTTTCAGTCGAGGCGCCGCGCGGCGCTTCGGCGGGCATGGAATGCGCAGCTGACTGCCGGCACGCAAGGACTGCGAGAGGCGCGCGCATTGGGTTTACCTTGCGCCCGAGGCAGTTCAATGGCACTTACAACCGACATGCGGGGCAACGGCGCCAGGAAGAAGGGGGAGGGGCGAGATGCGGGCAATGCGTGACGCAGTGGGCCCCGTCAACGAACGAGAGCGCGGCCTCTCGCTTAGCGCGTTCACGGACGACGTCACCAAGGTTCACGCAGTTGTCTCACCTGGACCAACCTCACTGGAGACTGGAGTTAGCGAGGTAATCTCGGCGCACCAGCTGGGGCTTGGCGAAAGCGAGGATCTCTCGGCGCGCCTGGGCCCCCAGTCCCCATCGGCCCCTGGCGGAGGCGAGGTTGCGCCGCATCGCCCGTCGCCCGCGAGCCCGTGCGACAATAATTGCGGGGCAGACCAACGCCACCACGCGGCGCCTAGAGAGCAAGCCGGGGAGGAGAGGATGGAGCCTGGGCCCTGCCAAGGCTAACCACCTGGCGGCTCTTCGGGGGCCAATGCGCGACGGGGCCGCAAGGCAGCGACAGGGAGAGGAGAAGATCAAGGGTACGCCGATGAGAGAGATGAGCATTGGGGCCGCGCCTGTCAGGTGATCAGGGATACGCAGAGGGAATGCAGAGGGGGTGCGAGGCCGCGCAGTTAGCTCGCAGACAGCGCGGTTGCTTCTGGCCATCAGATAGGACAGACAACATACAGAAGGAGATGTCCCAGGCATTTGCTTCGGGAGCTGACCTTTGCGGTTTGACGGCGCTTGTATTGAAGGAGCGCCACCTGACAGCACTCGACAGCGCGATGACATTACTTTTGAGAAGGGTGGCAGGGGGCAGGATGGGCCGGGCAGACGCAGATGGCATGACCAGGTGCTGCGCCAACAAGGAGGTTTTCAGAAGATGGAGGATGCCGCGCTGCTCGGCAGCGCCGAGGCAGCGCAGGCTGCAGCGGCGCAGACAAACGGGGAACTATCCAGTGGATTTCGGCAGCGCGCTGGCGGCGGTTTTTGGCGCGTCGAAGCAGGAAGGTCCATGCCAGATCAGGAGATTGGAAAATGGATGAGTTTGCGGAGCATCTGCACCTTGGGCCAAGCAGATGGCCAGGAACTTCCAGGCGCTGGCGGACGTCAGCGAGGACGTTTGGAGCCGGTACCCGAAGACGGAGTCAGACATTTCAATGTTCAAGAAAGGCACGAGAGATTGGGGAGCTTGGATTGGGGCGGACCCCAGTATCCCACGCCACGCTGGAGAGGCATGGGGCGCGAAGCTACCAGAGATTTCTTTGGGGGAAGAGGTGGTGTCTCAGTTGCGGTGCGACTGGGGAACTGGGGCAGTGGGGCAGGCGCGCGGAGCGCAGTTTACTGCGGCGGCGGCGCTAGCAGGGCGCAGAGGAGTGGCGCGCAACTGTCTTCCTCTAGTCCCTAGCCTGGCGGTCGCGAACCAATGTCCTTGGCGCGTGAGCTGGCTCGCTCCATGCAAAAAAGCAACTGACCATGTAATGGCGGCAGCGGAGAGTCACGGGATGTGCGGAAAAAAAAAAAAAACAGAAGCTGCTGGCATCACCCAGTCCGTGAGCCCCGTTCCTTCGCCTGCGTCCCCTGCGACTTCCAGGCTCAATCTTCGGGGGGTTTTCAGGCGCGCGCGCTGCCCCCGTCCGGGGCCGCGCTGCGTGGGAGATGGCGAAGGCGCCGCGGGGGCTACCGCGGCCCGAACGCGAACGAGGAGCAAGCGCGGAGATGGAAGGATAGCCGAAGCACCGCGCGGGCGGCACTGGAAAAAGGAAACTACCAGTGGCGCGCAGAAGGGGCCAGCGTTACGGCGGCGGGCAGCCCGCCAGCGGCCGCGGCCGCGGAGGGGGAGGAGGAGCCGGGGCCCGGGGCACCGGGGCACGCGAGCGGCTGGCCGGAGCTGCCGCGATGGCCCCTCCGTCGGCGCCCGCCCAGAGGCCGTGCGCAGAGGGGTTCTCGAGGGTGCTGCTCAGCGTGGACCAGTTCCGCGTGGTCTCTGCGGACCTCACCCACGGGGCGGTCTCTGGCGGCGTCTGCACCGTGGTGGCGTGCGCCCTGTTGGGAGTCCTGCTGTTCGCCGAGCTGGGGGCCTCCCTGAGAGTTAGCTACTCTACGAACGTCGTCATCGACGACGAGCTTGACGAATCGCTGAGGATCGAGTACGACACCTCGGTGTTCGACCTCCCCTGCAAGTACCGGGAAGTGGGCTCGTGGGACAAGTGCGGGAAAGACAGGTTCGTGACCAACAAGTGTTTCACCCATAGCACTCTGGACCACTGGGGGGGCACCGCGGGCGCCAAGTACACCGAGGCGGAGATCGCGGTGCTCGAGCAGGCGGACGTGGCCTCGGACATCGCGGAGGACGAGGCCACGGAGCTCGACTCGGACTGGTCCGCCAGCAGCGACCACTTCCAGCACAAAGACTTCCAGGCGGCGGCGACCTTCCACGACTACACGCTGGTGAACTTCTACGCCGAGTGGCGCAGTCACTGCAGGCAGTTTCTCCCAACATGGATAGAGGCGTCGGACAAGATCGGCGAGAAGATGCACGTCTCCGACGGCGACGGGCGGCAGTCCACGGTGAAATTCCTGAAGACGAATTGCGTGGACTTCCAGGACAACTGCAAGAAGGCCAAGATAGCAGCCTTCCCGACCCTGCGGTTTTACAAGCGCCACGGCTCCTTCGAGGTTGTCCAGCAGCATCGCTCCGTGACGAACATCGTCAGTTTCTTGACGTCGTCGATTAGAAACAGCCACTTGATTGTCGCCCGTCATCACATGATGTTCAACGAGGGATGCCGGGTGGCCGGCCAGATCCACGTGCCCCGCGCGCAGGGATCTCTCCACCTCCAGGCGGAGCCCTTCGGCAAGATGGACCTGAACCCCGCCATCACGAACGTGTCGCACCAGGCGTGCGACTGTTACTGCTCCGGCTCCTGCACGACGGACTGCGTTCAGCCCGCGGGGACGGTAGCCCTGGCGTGCGAGTGTATGTCCTACCCCGACAGCGGCGAGCACAACATGTTCAGCGTGACGCCCTGGTCGGCGGCGGGGTACGTGAAGGTCTGGCTCGGCCTGATTGCTGCCGCCCCTGGCGGCTCTGAGGGGGCCTCCGCGCACGACGCCAATGCTCCTTTAATTTGTGTTGCAGGCCGTCTCCAGCCTCCCACCTACCCGTTTGTTCGACCCCCCTCCTCCTCCCGCCCGTCGCCCCGGCCCCGGCACGAAGCAGCCCGCGCACCGTTTCCCAACTTTCTTCGCATCCTGGAGTTTTATCCAGTTGGCGGCCTTTTAATCACAAAATGTTGCAACAGTTGCCAGGAGTTTTATCCGTGCAGTGTTATGTCTACGCCCGGAGATTTTCCCAGGCATTTTTTTCATGTTTTGTCTCCGTACCATCTGCCTCGCTCCCTGGCCCCGCAGTCCCCCCCCTCCCCCGCGAGAGGAAACGCTGGCGCAAGTGAATTTGTCCTTTCGCCTACCCCCCGCAAAAGCGAGGCGGCATCGCGCTTTCGTCCGTCTTTTGCTTCTCACCCCTCCAATGCCGATCTCTTGCTCTCTCTTGCCCCCGCCCCCGTCCCCGCCCGACGGCGCGACGCGATCCGACGACTCGACGTTGGCCGCCAACACCGCGACGGTGAGGAGACAAAGGAGGCCAGGGTACAGGCTAAGGAGGAGGAGAAGGTCGAGGAGGGTAGTGGGGAAGTCGAGGAGGAGGTGGCGGCCGACACCAAGGAGGAGGCTGTTGAGGAGGAGGAGGTGGCGGAGGAGACCGAGGAGGTCGAGGATGAGGTCGAGGATGGAGTCGAGGAGGCGGCGCTGTTGCACACCCGTGACCCGGCCGAGATCCCCTCCAAAGAATGCGGTGCGGACTACTTGTGTGAGCTCACAGGCGTGTTCCTGACCGACGGAAAGGTTCAGCTGCGCCTCAAGGTGGGCGCGAAGGATGTCGTGCCCTCGGCCCCCGCCACGGACGACAGCCACACCATAGTGATGAGCGCAAACCAGGACACCTACAGGACAGACATGAATCTCGTTTCTTGCGCTACGTGCACCGCCAATGGCCTTGCTCCCAAGGTCAAGGCTGCCGTCGTCGACGCGTTCGGCATTCCGCGGGGCTTCGTGACTACGATCCACGCCACGACCGCATCTCAGCCGACCGTGGATGGGGCGTCGCAGAAAGACTGTAGTGGCGGCAGCGCGGAGGTCGAGGAGGGCGGCGGGGAAGTCGAAGAAGAGGTGGCGGACGAGATCAAGGATGAGGCTGCTGAGGAGGAGGAGGAGGAGGAGGAGGAGGAGGCGGCGGAGGAGGCTAAGGAGGTCGACGATGAGGTCGAGGAGGAGCCGCAGCGCGCCTCCTGGGGCCGTGGCGCCAGGATCGGCGCGCGCGAGAGCGCCGTGGCGGAAGAGGAGAGTGAGGAGGTCGAGGAGGAGTAGGCGGATGAGGTCGAAGAACAGGCTCAGGAGGAGGAGGAGGCGGCGGAGGAGGCTCAGGAGGTCGGGTGCAAGGAGGCCCGCATCGCCATGAAGGACCCAGAGACGGAGCTAAAGCTGGAGAGCGCGAGTCACGGTGCGGAGCATCTTGCCTATCAGATGAAGCACGGTGCGATCCACGGCAGGTACGATGGCACTGTCGATGTCGACGGGGACTGTCTGGCGATCAAGGGCAAGCAGGTGGCGCTGTCGCACACCCGTGACCCGGCAGAGATCCCCTTCAAGAAGTACGGTGCGGACTACGTCTGTGAGTTCATCAGCATGTTCCTGACCGACGGAAAGATTCAGCTGCACCTCAAAGTGGGCGCGAAGGATGTCAGGTCCTCGGCCCGGGCCGCGGACAACAGCCACAACATGGAGATGGGCGCGAACAAGGACACCTACAAGACAAACAGGAATTGCGTTTCTTGCGCTACGTGCACCATCAATGCCCTTGCTCCCAAGGTCAAGGCTGTCGTCATCGACGCATTCGGCATTCAGCGGGGCTTCATGACTACCACCCCCTGGATTAAAAAGTTGAGATCGGAGCTACACCGAAAGAACCGCATCCTGGTATTCGTCCGTCGTTCGGCTTTCGAGCCGCGACTTTCGATCGGGACTGGATCCTGGGAAGTCGATGGTCGCTGTTCGACCGGACCTCTATCCTCGACCCTCGAAGTATCTGGGGCCCTCGATCCTCGATCCTCGAGCCTCGATCGAACCTCGATCATGGATGTTCGATCGGCCAGGCATTCTGGAGCCTGGAGTTTCGATCAAGCCTGGAACATCGGTTCTCGATCGTCGCTCTTCGATCGGCCATCCAGCGTCGAACTTCGACGGATCGTGGCCGCTCGATCCTGGCTCCTCGATGTCCGAACGGCCCTGGATCCTCGACCCTCGATCTCCGACCCTCAATCGCTAGGTGGTTGTCGAACTTTGATCGGCCGTGGAACCCAAAGCCTCGTTTCCGATCGATATGGGTTCGCTCTTCCACAGTCGGTCCTGGGTCATCGATCGTGTATCCTCGATCATCGATCCTGGATCGTCGATTCTGGACCGTACATCCTGGGTCAACCGCGTCGCCCCAAAATGACCCTGGGATCGAACCTCCCACAGGGGGGCCTGCGACCCGACGCGACCTCAAGATGGCCTCAAGATGACTCCAAGACAAACCTGTGAACCGAACGATGCAACGGCCATCCCTGCGGACATCCGCCCAGGCGCAGATAGGACCGCGCGCGCGAGGCTGTGGCAACTGGAATCTGACTTGCACGGAGAGCATGCGACACGGAACAATCCAATACTGTGATGATAAGAGGAGAGAGTGGGAAGAGGAATAGGTCCGCGGCGTCTGTGTGAGCGTACATGAGACCAGAAACTCGAATGTCAGGAAGTCTCAAGCGAAATCGTCGTTTTCTGGTGGCATGAGATGCGACAAAAAGTAATGTGTGAGGAAGTCCCACGCGAAATCGCCACTGTCTGGCGGCCTCAAAAGGGACCGGAATATTTTTTGAGGAAGTCCCACGCGGAATCGCCACTTTCCGGTGGCATGGCAGAATTTCCGGTCGCCCTGGAAGGCGACCGGAAACTTTTTTTGAGGAGTCCTAGGCAGAATCCCACTTTCCGGTCGGAGCCCCATTTGGCCTTTATAATATTAAAAGGGATGATGGAGGCACCGGAAACTCCGGAATTGGCAACAAATCCAACATTGTCCCGGGGCCCCGCTGCCTAACGGGAGGCAAACCACGTCTACCTCGGCCCCTGCGGTCTCCACTTTTTAATCCAGGGGGTTGTACGATCCACGCCATGGCCGCATCTCAGCCGACCGTGGACGGGGCGTCGAAGAAAGACTGTCGTGGTGGCCGCGCGGAGGTCGAGGAGGTGAGTGAGGGAGTCGAGGAGGAGTTGGCGGATGAGGTCGAAGAAGAGGCGGAGGAGGAGGAGGAGGAGGAGGAAGAGGAGGAGGCGGCGGAGGAGGCTCAGGATGCCGGGTGCCAGGAGACCCGCATCGCCACGAAGGACGCAGAGACGGAACTCAAGCTGAAGAACACGAGTCTCGATGCGGAGTATCTTGCCTTTCAGATGAAGCACGGCTCGATCCACGGCAGGTACGATGGCACTGCCGAGGTCGACGGGGACTCCTTGGTGATCGATGGCAAGCAGGTGGCGCTGTCGCACACCCGTGGCCCGGCCGAAATCCCCTTCAAGAAGTACGGTGCGGACTACGTTTGTGAGTCCTTTGGCGTGTTCCTCACCGACAGAAAGATTCAGCTGCACCCCAAGGCGGACGCGAACAAGGTCGTGTTCTCGGCCCTGGACACGGACGACAGTCACACCGTAGTGGAGGGCGCGAACCAGGACGCTTACAAGACAGACATGAATGACGTCTTTCGCGATTCCAAGGCGGGCATCATGCTGGACCCAACGTTCGTGAACCCCGTCGAGGATGAGTGCGAGGAGGAGGTGGCGGCTGAGGTCAGGGAGGGGACGGACGCTCAAGCGGTAGAGGAGGCGGGGCGGCACGCGCCGGGCGGCTCCAGCGCCAGGATCGGCGCGCAGCTGCCCGACGAGGAGGATGAAGAGGCGGACTTAAGCCAAAATGGCTACGAAGCCCCCTCCTCCTCTTCCTCCTCCTCCTCCTCCTCCTCCTCCCTCCCCTCCACCACCCTCTGGTCGTCGTCTGGATCCTCGTTCCGCCTTCCTCCCTTGCCCCATCGGCCGACCTCGTCGCTCTCCTCCTACCCTGTCTCCGCCTACTCCTTCTCGTCCTCTTCTCCCTCACTCTCCTCCTGGTCGTCGTCGTCGTCGTTCGATCAGGCGGAGCCGGACGAGCCACCCAGGACAGGAGGAGGAAGAGGAGGAGGAGGAGGAAGAGGAGCAGCAACCAGCAGCAGCAGCTGGACGAGGATTGAGGAGGAGCACAGTGACGCCGCGTGGTGGGACACAGTGGACGTGCCAAACAGTCTCGGACACAAGGTCGCCACCACGCGCCGCGTCCCAGCTGGACTGCAAGGTGCTTGGGCCGAGGCCATGGGTAAAGTTCTGAGGGAGAGTGTGGGTGGGCAGACCGCCCAGGACCGGGAGCGTGCTTGGAAATTTGTCATTTTCGCACCTCGCTTAATATTTGCTGCCACTGGAGCCCGGGGTGGGCGCGGGGCCAATGGCAAAAGGGCCAAACACATCAAGAATGACATTGCTGAGCGCCTGCATGCATTTTGGCGCGGGGAGTGGCAAGAGCTGTGGGAAGCCGCTCACAGGCGTGAGTTGCGAGTGGGCGCTGCTACTGCCGTGGACGTGACGAGCAGGGTCCGCCGCGTCAACACGCTACTCGAAGACGGGCAGGTGGCAGGGGCAGTTGCAACGCTCCGGAGGTCCGGCCAGACAGCTGCCGGCCCAGGCGTCCACGATCGGCTCCGCGCTCTCTTCCCCGAGGCTGACACTTGGGACGCGGCGCAGGACGACGCGACGGCGACTCCGCTCGCAGCGGAGACTCGTCAGCAGCTCGGGGACGCCATCGCCGCAGCCTTCAGGAAGGCCAAGGGCGGCCGCGCGCCAGGTCTGGACAGCAGCCGCAATGAGCATTGGCGCGTGCTGGCTGCCGACACCGAAGCGGTCGACGCGTTGGTGGAGGCCGCCCTGGCCTGGGTGGAGGGTTCCTCGCCGCCAGTCGTGGACGAGTGGCTGCGCACAGGGGCCATCACGGCGCTCCACAAAGCCAGCGGCGGCGTCCGCCCGCTCACGGTCCTTGCGCCATTCCGCCGGATCGTCCTGACCGGGTTCGTGGCCCACACCAAGGCTGCCACGCGGGCCGCGGCAGGCTCGTACCAGTATGGTCTTGGGGTGCCTGGCGGCGCAGATGTTCAGTTCATGGCGCTGCAAGCAGCTGTGCACGATAGGCCGGGCAGCGTGCTGGTGGCGGTGGACGTGTCCAACGCGTTCGGCACGCTTGCGCGCCAGGGAGTTATCGCATCCTTGCGAGGGGCACTCCCTGAGTACGGAAGCCTGCTTGCGAGACTCTACGCCAGGCCTGCCGTGGGTTTATGGCGCGACGGCACTGGTGACACGCGTGAGCTGCGCACCGGCGCCGGGGTGCCACAGGGGTGCCCGCTGAGCCCGGCAGCGTTTGCGGCCGCCTTGCACCAACTGGCGCTACAGCACTTCTCTGCCAGACTGCAGTGGCTCGTCACCGCCTACCTGGACGACGTCGTTGCCGTGGTGCCGAGCGCAGAGGCAGAAGAGTACCTGCGACAGTTGTCTGGGCTGCTGGGCCCTGGCGGTCTTGTGCTGGACCCAAGCAAGACGAAGGTGTGGCTGCCCCCTGGCACTGCGCACTGTCCACCCTCCCTCCGGCAGTACGTGAAGGACGAGCTCCAGGTGGTGGGCTGCAGTCTGACGCGCCGACAGGACGACGACTGGGACGCCCTGGCCGCGGGAGCTGGAGGCGGGGTGCGTGCCATGGGCGCCGCCGCCGAGACGCTCCGGGCTTTCGGGCAGACGCTCCGGGAGGCGAGGGCCGCAGGACTGGGGCCACAAGAGGCAACGGCGATGCTGAGGTGGACAGCCCAAGGCTTACCGAACCACCTCCTTCGCGCGCACCTGCAGGACCTGGTGGCCGTCCGGGCCTATGACACGGTGCTTCGCGGCCTCTGGAATGACGTCCTGGGCGTTGACATGTCCGATCGGGAGTGGGTGCAGTCCTGTTTGCCCCTCCGGGATGGCGGTCTCGCGGCCGGCGCGGCCGAGCCTCGGCGGGAGGCGGCGCACATCGCCGCGTGGCTCGACGCCGCCCCGCGGGTTGCGGCGGCGCTTGGGGCCCCCAGCGCCGAGGCTCTCCTCGCCGCGCGCGCTGCGGGCGCGCAGGGATTTGAAGCCGCTGTGGTGACGTACAACGCTTCGGTCGGCGCTGCCCACTGCCTACAGACGTCGCTGGCCCAGGGAGAGCGCCACCGACAGAAGGACCTGGTGGGCCCGCGGATGGAAGTGATCGCAGGCGTCGCCAAAGCTGGCCTGGACCGCCGCGAGCGCGGCCGCCTGCTGTCCGCGGGGGGCCCAGGTGCTGGCGCCTTCACCATGTTGCCGACTAAGCCTGAACACAGAATGGCTCCTGAGCTGTACCGCATCTCGTTGCGGCGGCGCCTTCTGATGGCGGGCGCGCGGCTGCTGCGCGGACTGGAACCGCAGACGCACTGTCGAAACACATCCCAAGGGGGGGTGCTTTGCGGAGCGGTTCTGGACACCGACCAGCACCACGCCTTGGCGTGCGAGACGGGAGGGCGCCGCGTGGCGCGACACGATCGCATTCGCGACCTGCTGGCCCGCTGGCTTGCCCGGCGCGTCCCAGCATGGGTCCAGAAGGAGCAGACTGTGCCCCAGTGGCAAAGGACCCGCCGAGCTGTCGTGGATGGGGTCGAGACTGCGCGCGTCGAGACGGCGGTCCTTGACGTCGTCTGGGCCCGCCAGGGCTGCACCAGGGCGGTGGACGTGGTCGATGTTAGCCCGGACAGTACTGACGAGAGGGAGGCGCGTGCTCGGGCGGCGAAGGCTGGCCTCGCCGCGGAGGACGCGGCCCGCGACAAGGCGCGCCGGTACCCGCCGGGACCCACGACACCTTTGCTCATTCCTTTCGCGATCGAAACTGGGGGACGAGTGGGCTCTTCTGCGAGACAGCTGATCCTGGATCACCTGGACCGCTCTGACGGAGAGGCAGGAGCGTCTGCCGATGCGGTCGCTTTCTGGCAAGAGCTCAGTGCTGTTCTGCAAGCGGCGGTGGCTGAACAGTTACTCAGCGCCCACAAGCCCCCTGTCGTCGGGGGCGGGCGCTGAGCACAGTCTGCAGCAGGAGGTGTCGGAGGAGGAGGTGGAGGAGGTGGAGGAGGAGGCGGAGGCAGAGGGTGAGGAGGAACTCGCTGAGGGCGAGGAGGTGGCGGTGGCAGGGCCAGTCCCAGGCCGGTGAGTGCAGAAGAGGAGGAGCAGTGGTAGAGGGGCTGAGGGTGAGGGGGACCTGCAGAGGCAGCAACGCTCGACGACACGACGCCCGCCCCCCGCCCCCCGCCCCCGTCTCCTCGCCCCTCCTCTCTCCCCCCTCCTTGGCTAGTGCTCGCTTGCGGAGCCCATTCCCCATGCAGCTTTTGGGCGTGCCGGCCCATCCGCTATCAACTTGCTGCCTTGCTGTGCGGCGCGTGAGGCACAGCCCTGAAGGTGTGCTCCTGTCGCGGGCCTGCTGAGGGATATCGCCCCTCTCGGCAGAGCCAACAAAAGTCCTCCGGATGGAGGCGCCCTTCAGTTTTGATTTCAGTTCAGCGGTCAAGGCCCTCCCGCTGCGGACATGTGTCCTCGGTGCTGTCCTATCCGTCCCCCGTGATCTGGGAATCGCTCAACCCGCCCGACTTGGGGGGCCCCTCGCTGAAGGCGGGGGCCTCGCATGTTGTACAATTCATCCTCGTGGGACTGTCGGCCGACGCGCCTGGCCCAGGTGGTCACTGGCCCTAAAGGGGGGCTCGCGCCTGGGTCGCGGATCTGCCGGAGGAGGAGTAGGAGGGGGGGGGGGGGGGGGGGGCGCAGACCCCCCCCTTCCCCCCGGCCAGTCATGCGCAGCGGACGACTACGAGGAGTTCCACCTAAAAGGGTGAATCAACGGACTTCAGAGATTGGCCCTCCGCTCGGCAACAGAGATCAGAGATGCGAGCCACGTGGCCGATGGAAGGCGCCCGGGAGCTGGCGTCGGATTGGCAGGGGGAAGACGAAACGACAGTACCAGCATCAACAGACCAAACAGTGGACGCCCTGAATGGTTTCCTGAAGCTGATGGAGGACAACAGCGAGCACAGTCAGGCGATGATCACAGAGACGGCCAAGATGCGCAGGGTCAGCGAGAGCTACAAGGCGCGCAATAGCAAGAGCAGGAACCCGAAAGTGGACGAGCAGGAGTTTTGGGAGGAGGGTTTGGGCAATATCCAGGTCGGCATCAACCAGTTTCCCGACTTCAGGGCGGTGCCCCCGAAGGATGCGAGCTAAGACGCTATGGCGAAGTTGGGCCAGTTCTCAGGCCGCAACCTGAGGATGGCGATGGGGGTGCTGGCCGCCTACCTGGGAGGCAAGAAGTCCCAGTCGACGGCGCCCGAGTCGGAGCTGGAGAGGATGGCGGGGCGGGAATTTCAGTGTCGGCGCCGCTGAGAGGAGACAGTGACGGCATTGGCGAGGTTTTCTCTGCGCGCAAGGACCCCGGGGCAGAGTGCCAGGCCGGGGCCGACGCGGACAAGCACATGCGCCGAACCACCGACGGCGCAGGCATCATGCGATGATGGTGCCGCCTCAGTGGAGCTCCCGTCTAGGGCAGATGGGCAGTGCTGGCGCGCCCAGCAGCGCGCAGGCGAAGAGGGGGAGATACCTTTCAGATGATGGAAGGATAGCAGAATCGATCAGCATGGATGTAGAGCGCCTCACCAAACTCAGACTTTTTTACCCCACATGGTAGGACTCACGAAATGGCCTTGAAGTTCCGAGCAGACCAGGAAGCTGAGGCACAGAGAAAAGCCTTGGGGAAAGGCATGCCTGGCAACGACCAGCCTACCCATCCCAGTCAGTAAAAAGGCGTCGTCTACAGTGACGACGCAGTGCGTTTCTCCCTCCCTCCTCCCATTACAGATACGGAGAGATGGCGGGCGGGGTACTTTGCAGCGCAGCATGCGCCCAATGTAGACGGGTCACAGTTAATGGAGGGAGATGGGTACAGAGTGCGAGGTGCTACCAGTTTAACAGGGTAGTTTAGGATGTGTCGCTATTTCAATGGGGGAGATGGGACCAGCATATACGACGTACTACGCGTATAACAGGGCAGTTGGGAATGCGCTACTATCTCCATCGCTCGTGCTCGGATGCCACAGCTGATCTGGCTCAGCGCTGGCCTAGGTGCGCAGTGTGACGCGCTGGCGGGGTTTCTCGAAGTGCGTCGCACGCGGGGGCCATGGCCTGCGCGGCCAGTTGCCAGCTATGGCCCTGCGGGCACTGCAACCAGGGGTTTAGCATTGCGAGATGATCGAGGGCCGCAGAGAGCAAGCGAGGAACGAGCCAGGTCGCGAAAAGGACCAAGGTGGCAAAGGCTTCGCATGGAAAAGAGTGCGCATCGATTGCGAGCTGGAGGTAAAGGAGGGGGCGCGGGCAGACTGAAGCGACGAAGGGAGGGCACTGCGCGGGGGAGAACCGTATATTGCGACAGAGCAGGTCTGCCGGTAACAAAGCAGGAAGGCAAACGGAGCTGCAAGGGCGGCCCAGGCACTATGGCAGATTAAAGCTGCTCTAGTACAACTGGCAGAAGAAGGAGGCCCAAATGAAAAGTCTCGCACGCGAAGGAACACCATCGCCAGAGAGAAGTCAAGAGGAGATGGCAAAGGCGCGGCTGGAGGGCGTCAAATTCAATGGAGGTATATTTGCGGCCAGTAGCGGCGCTGGAAAATCATGACAGAGGCCCTTCGCTGCGCAGAAGAATACGACATCCTACTCAACAAGTGCACGATCATAGACGCCAGCCACGAGGATGCGATGCAGGTGGGGAAACAGGAGTTGGAAGAGAAAGAGAACGAGCTGCGCGAGATGGCGGCAACAAGACGGCGAAGGACAATGGTGAGACGCAGCCGGAGTTCCTCATGGCGCTGGACTTCGCGGACGAGTGGAGCGACGCCATGCAGCCGTTAGACGCATGCAGGAGGGGCGCCGGGCGGGGCGGAAACGGGGGGGGCGGCGCTCGCGCGGGCTCGCCTCCCCGAGCGAGCTGCGACGGAGAGGCCCCAACCCCAAGTCGTGAAGTGTCAAGTGGCAGTTCTTGCGCAGGTGGACTGGTCGCAGCTCGGGGGAGCGCAGGGGAGTAACCCAGAGGGCGTGCTCTTGAAGGAATGGGTGGACACGATGGGGAAAACGTTTGGAGCAGGCAGCGACAACTTGCCAAATACCGGGCTCGCGTCCAAAGTCCCCCCTTTCAAGAGTGGGCCATCGATGGCCGTGGGGCTCAAGGCGGGGGCCACATGGCACGCGCTCGCTGCGGAAAAGGCTTCCGCAGCAATTGGACAACGCCATCAAGTGGCTTCGCTGCCAGTTCTTCGACGCGGCCCAGAAGATGGGCCGAGAGGAACTATTTGAGCTGGTCCAAATATCCTTCCCGATGACGCACAAGATCGAAGGTTGCGGCCTCGTCGCAAGGCACCCGGTGGACCAATGGGAGAGGTCAGGGAGGAGGGCCTTCGCTGTGCAGAGCTGGTGTGAGCTCGCGCTGAAGATTGCGGAGAACGCGGAGGAGAACTTCCACGAAGTAACGAAGGTTGCCATTAAGGAGCTGAGCAGCGAGGGCAACATGGACCCAGAGGAAGTGAAGAGGCTGAAGGAGTGCCAGAAGCTACGGGGCAGCACCCAGACCATGCTGGATGGCACCGAGGTCTTCGCTGAAAAATTAGGCTACCCCACGTCGGAGGAGACGACTGCGGCCAGCTCATCCAGCGGCCGCCAGTGAGCTCACCCACTGGAGCCTGTTGATTCGTCAAGAGGAAGCATTCGCGAGGTCTCTTGGAGCGCCACTCTAGGCAAGGCGTGAGCTGGCCGTGCCCACAGACAGTCGGGAGGAGCATTACCGAGCTTTCTCGGAGTGCAACGCATGACAGCCAGTATGGACACAAAAGAGGGCCAGCGTCGCCATCGCAATTGGAACTATTTTTCGAGCACCGTCTGGTACACCACTGCAGGGTGCCGAAGAGAAAAAAGAGTGATCATCAGGAAGCCCGCCCGCGTGCTCCTCATTTGCCCTACATTATACAATGACTCACAGCATGCTCTACCCCGCATGGACTTCGAGGGGGGGGGATGGATTACTTCAACAGAGTACCACAGTGCAGATGTGACAATGCATGGGACATCTCTCGGAACGACCGAGAAGTGAGCCGAGTGGGGGGGGAAGGGCGTGGAATTCAAACTGTAGAATATTCAGCCCGCCCAGCAACAGTTTGGGGTCTCGGGCCTTCCGTCTCTCCCCTCTCTCCTCGTTTTGAGGTCGCGTCGTCGTCTCCCCCCCCCCTTCCTAGCTCGGGCGCCCTGCTGTGCCCGCGCGACCCCTCCCCTGGGGCGCGCGGAAGGGCCAGCGGCCCCCCCCCCCCGCACCGACCCGAAGGAATTCGCGATGTAAGCGAGCGAGCCTCTCTTACGGGGCCACCGCGGAGCCTGGTCCTTGAGCAGCGCGGCCTGCCCCCTGCCGGCCCTAGTGAGAAGGCAGGGCTGCAGCGCCCATGGAGGTTGCCCCGCAGATCCTGAACGAGGGGCAGCCTGCTGCTGATGGCGCGGGGCCCAGGGGCTCGGCGTCTTTAAGTGAGGATGGGGGCGCCGCTCCGAATGCCATGTAAAGGTTCCCCCCTGACAGGCGGAGGCGATGCAGCAGCCGGCGCCCGCGTGCCCACCCTCGCACGTAGGGGGGAGTTCTCTGCGCGGCAGTGGGCGCGCGCCCCATTCAAGCGCGCCTTTCAGATTTTGTCGTCTACCCCCCATTTCGGCGAGACGTCAGAGAGCGTCTTCGGGCTCCAGGCCAAGTCGGGAAGTTCTGACCTCAGGATTGACACAGCAAGTGCTTCTGGGCGGGGGCCTGCGAAGCCGTGGATTCAGCGCGCCGCGGCGCAGGTCATCCCCCCACACAAAAACAGATGTTGATCCCGGATGATGCTCTGGCTTGGGCGTCGGCGCGGGCTCGGCGCCAGGGCTGGCGCGCTCGCTTGGGGCGCGCTCCCCCGGGGCCCTCGGGGGGCCCGTCCGGGGGGGCTGGGGCTCTGATTCGGGTCTTCTTAGGGCGCCGT